CCGAAGAACACTTCGGAACCGTACAGGCCCGCTAGTAGAGAGAGGGCACGCACATGCTCTACCGAAGAACACTTCGAACCACGCAGGCTCGCTAGCAGAGAGAGGGTACGCATACGCTCTCCCGAAGAACACTTCGGAACCGTACAGGCCCGCTAGTAGAGAGAGGGCACGCACATGCTCTACCGAAGAACACTTCGAACCACGCAGGCTCGCTAGCAGAGAGAGGGTACGCATACGCTCTCCCGAAGAACACTTCGGAACCGTACAGGCCATCAACAGCTGACGCAGGAGTCGCTATGCCTTCAAGCACATTGTCACACAAGGACAACAACAGATCGACTAATAGACTATAAATACAGATTATTAAATACTTCACGAGTTAGAAATCTCACCATTAATTACTCTTACCTTTGAATAAATTCTTCTACTGTCCCTTTACATAATTAAAGACACAATTGATTACTTAATAAATTCCATTAAACATCTTACACCATATCAAATATAGTTATTCATACATCAAACATACTTGATTCAACTACCATCTTCTCATGCTACCTCAAAAGCATGATTGACTGACATCAGCTGATATTTACAACATCAGCATTACTTCAACTTCAAGATACTTAGTCATATCCATAGCATCTACAATAATTCAAGAATACAAGAATACACCCTCACTACTTCAATAGAATTATTTCTCTCTACATCAAAGTACAATATTGTTATAATTATTTACAAATAATAAACATTGTTTTACTAAATACACGATATTTTTCAGCCTTGTCTGTTATTGTTTCCTTTGAAGTTATCCTAATGTTAATGTATTTCACAATTAGTTATTACCATCAAAGATATAGTTCGACATAAGAATATCATAGCCTGTATTCCTGACTATTCAAATGCTAGTTTATGGAAATAATTTACCACAGACTATATACCACAAGCAGGTTTCTGCACATTCTGTATAAAGCTATAATATGATTGCTATTACTTTAATCATATAAAATAAAACCTATACAAAGACTTGCTGTGGCTTACTATTAATCAGGAAGACTTAAAAATTATGATTGTCCCAATTTGTCAACATTATTGACATGCAAATCAATATAAGAGTCAAATTAAAAGACAGACTGAATTCTTGCATTAAACTCATTTAATTTATAAGTTTAAACAATTTAAAATCTACCTTCTTAAAATGGAAACCATAGATGAGCGTAGTTGTATTTATTATAACAACTTCTTAAATATAATGTAAAATCAAATGTAGAGAAATATTAAAATTTCACAATGATTTATAAAATTAAATGGCTTATATGAATATTTGCCAGAGTTACATAGATCCGTATTATAGAATTATTATTATTATTTAGTTTAATTTAATTTTAATTTATATCATTAAAGTAATTTAATCTAATTTTAATTTAGTTTTATTTTATATCATTAAAGTAATAGCAATCATATTATAGCTTTATACAGAATTAAAATATATTAAATATATTTAATGTATTCAACATGGAATTAATAAAATAATTTTATATATATGAGAAATTTCTAAAGAAAAAGGATTTTTTTACAAAAATAGTAATCAAAAATATTATTTTCATGAGTATAAATATAAATGAAAGAAAAGTTGTAACAAAATATATTAAATATCTCTGAGATGAAAATACATGGTTTTTACTAAACCAAAAAAGTATTGATATATAAATACATATTTATTATAACAATGAATATATTATTTTACTATCAAGATATTTAAAAGTCTATATTCATGTTTATTCTATATCAATGATTTAATTAATATTTCTCTTACACATATAACTTGACTATAAAGATTATTTATTATTTTACTTATAAAATAAAAATACTTTACTGTTGAATGATATAAAATATAGAATAAAAATGATGATTTATTATCAGTTATTGATACATAAAAATATTTGAAATTGTACTTTATCATTGTTTCGTATTAATTCAAACAATTAATTTATTGAAAAATATTTATATATATTGCTCTACAATTATAAATATAACAAGAAGCATACATAAATGGAATAATATATGGAGATAATATGATTTAAATATATTAGATAAAAGTAAAGACTGTGTTAAAAATCTATTTTATTAAAAAGAAGTTATGAAATTATTAATTAGTGCTAATTTTGAAAAAATAACTATTTTTATAAAATAAATATTAATAGAAATAAATATACCCATCATCATTATATAACTGAAATGCCATATAATCATGTAATGATTATATTTTATATTTAAAATTACTGATGAATAGAAAACTGATCAAATTTCTTTAGTTAAGTACATAGTAGTTTAATCGTTTATTTATGGCCTTTAAAAATTAAATTATACAGTAATCAGCAATAAATTATAATATATCTCTTATCGTTCAGTATAGTATCACATAGTAAAAAAACCACGATACGAATATCGCGTGACAGAATATTCCAATGTGAGTAGAAAAGTTTATGTTATAAATATTTCATCATTTTAACGAATTTTTTGTATTAATTAAAAGATCTTATACATAGAGGTGATTGATATGTAAAGAAATATTAATATACATAAGATAGACTGCTTTAATTTTAAATCATTATTTCATGTATTGTTAACCATAGTTCATAAAGTTTATTTTAAAGTCAAGATAAAAATCGTGGTTTTAACATATAAGATTCTTCAAATAAAAAATTATAAAATGTAAGTTATTAATTATATATAAATCATTAATTTATTATATTAATTATAATTCAATATTTAACATGTCAAAGAATTTAATTTATATTGAAATACTTAATAAATAATAAATTCATTTAATTACTAAAACAATATTATGGTTATGTATTTCCTATTAAATGTAAAAGTAAGTAAATGAACAAATTTATGTCGAAGAATACGAGTAATTAAAAAATTAATAAATTGAAGCATTATAATCAATGAGCTTAAATAAATAATTTTATGTGTTATAGTAGAGAAAGTGAGACATATAAAAGTTAGAAAAAAAAATTAAAAATGTAAAATGTAAACTCATTTCTTACCTTAAAGTCGATATAGCCATTTTTATCCATGTCAAATGTACGAAATACATGGTCACAAAATTCTTCAGCATTTCCAGATGGAAAGAACATTTTGTACATGTCAACAAATTTTGCTGGTGTCAATCTGCCATTTGGACAGTCTTGCTGTAACACAATTATAAAATAACAATTACAACTTATTTTTTATAATAAATATTAGTTAATCTTAATTAATATTAGTGTTTTTATTGTTCTAATTAATTTTTCAATTACAACTTTATAACTAATTTAGCACAAGATTACATCCATTCAATACTAAATTATACCTACTAATATTTGAACTTACATTTGATCTTTTAATTAAACAATGAACGGATAATTTATATTTCCATTTATATCATAAAAATAAATTATTTTGGAAATATATTAAAATAGCTCTTCAATGCTGTTAATATATGAATAATATATTATCTTAGAAAAGTTTAAATGAATATTACATATTACGTAATAGATGTTATGAAAAGTATAAATAAGTTAATAATTATTAAAATTTTCTGATTTCATTAATGATATAATTATGAAAATATGTTTTATGTTTTACATTTGCCAAGCCGATTCCTCAGCAAGCACACGTAGGCACTGGAAGGTATATGGTTAAACTCCCCCTTTCAGAATCACCAGAAACACTCGGCGAATCATACAACGTGGCCCATCAATGCCTACTGCGCCTACAAAGCCGATTCATAAGAGATGACAATTATCGCACGTTATACACTCAATTCATGACAGAGTACGAGAAATTGAATCATATGCAAAGAATACCTGAAAACTACCCGTCCAACGACAAAACATACTATTTGCCGCATCATGGTGTACTAAAACCGGACAGCACCACTACCGGTAGTACCGGGTAGTATTTAACGCGTCAAGCCCATCATTCTCAGGACGATCACTAAACGACAGGATCGCCACTCTGCACCTTACGCAGTTCCCGCCATCACGTGCAAGCAACGCCGACGCTCGTTCTTGCACATTACCTCATCACGCGGTTCTCGCAACACAAACATCGAATTGAGATACTCAAGGGTTCGGACAACAAATAGATTGGTAAAATTAATTCAGATGATTAGGCCCACTGAGGAGCAAGAATAATCAATACTAATACGTATAAACCTTTTCTCCTCGCAAGGAAATACTAATTAAGGGGAGTAGTAAACTTAAATACAAGTTCAGGGAGTTCTAATAGTAAATCATGACAGCATTGACAGAATAACTCAGGAATACAAGAGACAAAAACAAACCATACCAGGCAAAGATAGCATGATATGTGTCCCGTCATCGAAACTCGCTCACAATCACCCGAGAACCCTCCCTCAAGGAATTATCCAAGCATAAGAAGAATATGAATTCATTTTGTATCATATAAAAAATGAATATCAATAGTAAGCGTTGCCAAGATACATAAGGAATACCATTGGACAATTGACATTATAAGAAATCTCCACACTCCTTGCCCAAGTTAACTTAACCACAATCGAGAGACCATCCCACATTCTACCAGTCCTGCCAGCCCCCACAGAAGACACCAATTCTAATCATCAATGAATTGATGATTGCGGGCGGAATGTTACGGATTACAACAGTTTTAAGCGGAATACAAAGTGGAAGAGGTATGAGCGCGCGAAGCATTGTTTGGTAAACACTGGCCAACGGACTCAACGAATGCTTCTAACCGAAAAACTCGAACATACGACTATAATTCCGAAAAATAATAACAAATGAACCCGACAAGTAGCATAGTAACAGCCACCGATGCGCTATCGGTGCATCCAGTTCGTACGAGAATGTGAAAGGACTGCACGTGTCGCGATTGCCCTGCTAGTACCAATCATGCACTCTTCACAACGGGATCGCTATCCAACCTTGCCATCGCCATTGGGAGGCCATGGCAAGCATCAAGCAACCTAAGGAACTAATAGCGATGCCACAACTATACTGGCACCCACGCCTCCGTAAGCAACGCAGACGCTCGTCCCTTACTACTTCTAGTTAACAAGCACCCATCACGACAGGACCGCCACTACTCTACACTCGCGATTTACGCCCTTATCGGTTCCTGCCAACTCAAGTAAGATGCGACGAGACACTCGTTCTTACTATCTGTACTCGCGGTTCCTGCCACCACCTCACGCAGTTCTCGCCACCACGGGCAAGTAACGCCGACGCTCGCTCTTACCTTTACCTCTACACCGCGGGTACGTTCACATTGAGCACACGACGTGCACCAAATTACCACTACCTTTGAGCTCACGGACACAAGCTGTGACGTCACACGGACGTTCTCCCACCACTTCATACACTACAGCTCACCTCTCGCCGGCTGCCAAGACGGCCCAAACTTGCTGCCCCTACCACCACGAGTTCCCCACTACAACTACTCAACCCAAAGGAAAAAGGGAAATCACGCTCCAGGCTATCAAGAACACACATACAGACTTATCGCCACCACCATTACTGAAGAAACACCAATATATTCATTCTATCACATACTCATTCCAATATTCATAGATTATTAACTATTCATTATTTATTATATTTAATAAAGGGAAAGACTATTAACATTAAAGGCAGTATTGAATAATTGCATTGCCCCTTCCACTTGCCAGCAAGCCTCCACCCACCATCATAAGGAAGTTTTTAGTCTGATCCCAGACATATGTGTATACTTCAAATGCTGATTATTGATTTAAAACTGCACTATTTGCTTACACGAAACTCTTTTTTCGTTTTCATTTCTCGATTGTTGCTATGTATCAAGATTATTTTTATTTAAAATTTATAAATAATCAGTATTATTATTTGATTTTAAAAAATTGATACGTTATTGTATCAATAATTATTAATTTTATTAAGGTTGAATTTAAACTTATCCAAAAATATAGATTTTTAAAGAAAATTCACAGGGTAATTAATATAAATATTTTTCAAACTAAAACTTTTAAATATATTCTAAAAAATAGTTTATTTATAAAGTAAATTACAAGTATGTTTTAAATATTTTAATGATAATTCATAAATCCCTATGAACAATCCTAAACTTTTAGATTATCCCTTATTTTATTATAAATATCTAAAATATTTATTTTTTATAAGATAATTATAAAATTGTATGAAAAGATACATATTTGTCTATATATTAATTTGAGTAGTATTACCTTATCTTACACTTTCTAACTACCTTTATTTACTCACCTACAAAGTTATACACATATTAACATGCATACGTGAACTAATGAGGGAATTAAAAAATCACAAGAACAATGTACAATAATATGTATCTCAATTTCTACATATGTTAAGCGTACTAAAACATAACTGCACAAAAAAGTAACAAAAAACTAAAAAATACAAAGTAGAAATCTAATTCGATGACTGTAGCTATTAAAATACAAAAAATTATCAAAACTAAAGATACAAATACTAAACATTCAAAAAACTTTAGTGTTAAAATAGTAAAATTAAGGGTAACCATTGAAGACTAAGTGTATTGTAAAAATACTAATGTCTCCCAAAATTTCAAAGCAGACAAAATTTTAAATTTTACAAAAGAAGTTTCAAATTCTATTGTTGGCTATAAACATTTAGATATAAAGACATAATTGATTTTATAGACATTTAAAACACTCAACAACAAAATGAAGAATCGAAAATTAGAAGATAGTACTTATCTATTCTCTTAATATTTCTCTTCGTATTTCCTTATTTTAAATTTTCTCGATAAGTAATCGGCTTGTATTCTGATCAATTACATTTTATGTTCAAAATCATCGCTCACTTTAGTAGAATTTCAAAAGGGAATAGAAAGTAACAATATAAAGGAAGACAATGATTGTTTTAATCAAAGTGATTACTTTTAATAACTAAATAGATAACTGAAAATAGCGATATACAAATACCAATAACTATGCAATGTTTTTGTAAATGTTCAATAATATAATGAATAAGAAACTAATATATATACACACGTACGCGCGCGTATACATATGTGCGTGTGTGTGTATTGAGAGGCGAATTAAAAGTTAGAAAAAGATATCAATTATTAAAATGTTGTACAAAGCCAATATTCTTTATTAAAAATTTGTATATTCTGCCATTATGCGACATTGTATCTCGAGGTATTTAAAACGTTATGGATGAATTCTGAAATTAGTATTTTATAATGAAAATTATTGAATAAACCTGAACGAAAAAACTTAACATTTTTTTAGTACTTTTCAAACAATATTATAAAGCTATCCTTTTCGTATTATGAAATATTTATTAAGAAATTAAATTTATTTATAATTTCATTAGATGGTGATTGTGTAATATATTTATGTAGCAAAAATTAATTATACTAGTTATTTAAAATTTGTATTTATATAATAAATACTCTATAAAATAATCTTATGTTCCCATTATAATAATAAAATTTCATTATCTATTTCATATTTATTTAATAAATTTAAAGTGTTTATTTTGAATTTGTAATATTTCACATGAATAATTATTTGAATCTTTAAAACATTAAACTTTAAATATGAAAATTCGCTAATTTTCCATATTATAAAACCATTAACGAAAGCGTTTTCTTTTATGTATTTTATCAGAATCGTTATTAAAACTTAAAATATAATACTTCATTTAAAGTATGTATTTAGGAACATACTATTTGTTTTTATTTCTATATAATCATATATAATCATATATTATTTGTATATTTAATAATAAAAGATATTCTGTTATATTAGTTTTTGGTACTATTTATGAAATTATATAAAAATTTGTGTTAATATTATTACATCAATTTTTATATTTAAAAAATAAGAATCTTATAATTACTAATTAAAAAGTAGAAAATACTGTAATAAGAAAAATTAATTCTATTACTAAAATTCACATATGTCCCGACATATATTCGTTATAACAATAAAAAGTATTCACTAAATATATTGACATATTTTTGTTAATTCAATATTAACAAATGTATTAAGACTTTATATGAAAAATGTTTAATTTAACATTTTGTAAAATAGTAGTAAAATATATTAATATGTATTTTACAAATATAATATTTTTTATGTAATGAATTGATTAATTAATTAATCATTTATTAAACGATTCATTTATTAATTATATAATAATTAAACATGCAAAAAAATATATGTCTTATTCTGATATTTATTGTCATTGATAGCATTTTGTATTTTTAGCACTCATGAACACAATATTTATTAATTATTATGAAAAGTATTTTACAATGCATCTTTATTATTTGTACAAAATTGTCATATTTTCTTAGTATATCTAGAGATCAACTATTTTTATTTTTTCTTATAATTTATTCAAACTATAAAAATACGAGCAATCTTTTATATTATATACAAAAGAATTAAACATAGTAAATACAAAAGAAATAAACATATTAAAAAAGAAATTCTATTTTATAATAATAATATTAATATTGATTTATTATTATTTAATTAACATAAGCTTAATCTTGATAAATAGCATTAATCTGATATAGAGTCTGTTAAGGCAAATGAAAAGCAAATTGCTATACATAAAACATGTTATGAGTGAAAATGGTAAATTATACTACAAACATATAATATAAAATTTATATTGTCTTCAATAAAATTCACGAAACATTAAAAAATTGTGTCAAATATAAATGATATTTTATTTATCTATTGAATGGATAATTTTGAATAAAGATTGTATATTCGTAAGTTGTTCAAGTGTGTTTGATATCCTCGTTCAAATTTCAGTTTATAAATGGATTAAAGCATTTACTTCCAAAGAAGCACTTGAGTAATACATTAAATTGTTAGAAAGTTCCTCTCTTCTAAAATTATTATAGTTGGATTATCATTTCATTAATCAAAGCTATTTAATTGGAAATAAAGTGTATACAACATATTTTTTATGAAACTATGATAATTCCTTCTTTTGGTAATTTTTTTTATCTTATTTATCTTTAACTTCTCAGACTCACAAACTTTTACTGATTTTGTGTTATTCTATTGTTTGTGATTATGTTAAGTATTTTTATTGTTGATTCAAACACATTTAAAATTATGAGGATCCCTGTAGCGTTGATTATCAAAACATAAAATGTAACTATTTAATAGAGCAAATTCTGATTTAAAAAATAATATTGTTGTACGATCATGATATTTTCATGAGAATATCTCATAAATTCGCGTAGTCTTTATTAAAGAATATGCAGAATTTTTGTAATAATTGTGCTCGATTATGTTATTTCTACATTAATATCCATGTAAATAATATACTAGACTTATTTTATTTATATATAACAAATATAATAATATAAAAAATATTTTTGATTATGATTCGGTAGTTTATCTACATTTCTCAATAGATATTTATTTTATAGCAAAAGTTATCTATTTTTATTACATATGCTCAAGAGTTGCGATATAAATGATCAATAATACAAAAATAGAGAGATACTCCGCTGTCATAATATGTAATGACAGTACATCAAAATAAACTGTTAAATTAAACCTACACTGGGATCACATTTAAAAATCACAATAAAAATAATAAATTCATTTAATCTACTAGAATTTAACCTGTATTTTTTTTACTATAACTCTAACTGATTCTCTAATTAGTATTTAACAAAGTATGGTAGCCAGTCCCAAGCTACAGAAGTATAGGTGATAAAATATCAAAATGCAGTAGGTGAGAATCTGTTTGAACCTTACCCAATATAATATTTCTATGTGTATGTGCATTTAAATATGTGTATACACGTATAACTCCATAATGAGAAATTTTTTTGCTTTTTGTAAATCGAACGATATTAATAACAATATTAACACAATTACAAAAAATATTTAATATTACTTACTATGTTAATTAATATTCAAACCTCAGTTTAATAATTTAATTATATTTTTTTCATTCAGATATCAAAAATGGTAATATTATTTTTGACAACGTGACTTAAGTTTTATTACAAATTATATTTATTACAAATTATTACAAATTTATGACAAATTTTATTTAACTAAATTTTCACTTGTGTCTAAAAGGATTTTATAATAATGTTGATCAATTATTTTGTATAATAATGATATTTTATTTATTATTATAATATATTATATATATAGTTAACAATTCAAATTTTATGTTTTTTTTTATTAAAATTTGGCTATTCTATCATTAAAAACTGCAGAGATCACTAGTTTTTGAATGTTTTAAATATTATCTTTAAATATTATATTCATATATAAAATATGAAAATGAAATTTAAATTAAATACATGAATTTTATGTTTAGCACTTTTACATAATCTTTATACAATATATAATATATTTGCAAAATTATACTCATTATAAACATCAATATCTAATTATAATTTATATATTTAATAATTTTAAATAATGTTAAATGAACAATATAACGTATTTTACTCACTTTGAATCCTTTGTACCATTCTTTAATGGATGATTCATCATATCTTGTGTGAGACTTAAGAAAATCCATATCTTCTTTACTCAACTTGTCTTTGCTCCCAAAACAACCCATTTTTATTCAAATGAAACTGCAACAAATAATAAAAATATAAAATATACTTCTTATTTAAAGAGAACATATTTTAAAATATATTTTAATTATAGTGATTATCATTATTATTCATATAAAATATAAGACGCATATAATTAAGCACATAACCAATATAATTGGACATCACGTATGGACTAATAATGAAAAAATATTTTTTTATAATTCAATAGTGTATTTCCAATAGCAGAAAAATTATATAAAGTTTGTATGCAATTAAAGTTTATAAAATTGGTTTTATTGCCATTTTAAGAATCAATTAATTTTTTTTTTAAAACTTATTTAAATATAATAAAGAAAATTAAAATCTTATTAGAAAAATCTTTAAAATTAAGAAATAATAACTAACAATGGCATAATGATATATGTATTTTTAAAAATGAAAACAACTTTTAAAAGAAATAAATTTTAGATTGTAGTTTTTTTGATAATATATTTCAGACTATATATGAGACGAACTCGTTCATCATATACTAGGCATAATATTTAATTGTGTATTTAAATATCAATGAAAAATATGCATTAAAATGGAAAAATATGATGATACAGAATCTTATAAGATTGTTGTAGAAAACTTTACTATTTTTCTAATATAATATATCTTGAATGCTACTATAATATAGATATTAAATATTTATTAAATTCTTATTATATTAAAATCTTTATTAAATGATTAAATCATTTTTTTCTTTAAAATTATAAATATTATATTTTAATTACACTTCTATTAATAATAATAATCTAATTAATATTATAAAATAATTTATTAAATTATAACCTTATCTATCATGAACAAAATATAATCAATTTAAGAAAATACATTTTTAAATGAAAAAATTTAACAAACCACATATATATTTCACTATTAACTATTAACTATTCACTATTAACTAGATATATACTGTAAATGTACTAATTATATTCTCAATTATTAAATCTGCATACTCGTCGGTTTTTAAGGCATTATAATAAATACATATAATGTTAAATACAATATAATTAATTATTTAATTAACTTCATTTTAAATATTTAAATAAATTATAGAATATACGTACACGAAGATGTCAGTGAATTAAGTTATTTTTATATTTATAGAAAAATTTTTTTTTTTTACTGTATTATACATTATTCAGTAATATACAGTTACACAGTCATACAGTACATTAATGTATTTTTCAAATTTAAAGATTAAATTCTGTCGTAAGAAATTAAAAGAACTTTAAAACAAATTTCTCTTCATCTTAATTACATTAACATCAATTACGTATCGAACATTATATTATAAAAAATGAATATAAAATTCAATTTAATAAAAAAATTATATAAATTAGCAAATATTTCAGTTTTCTATTGGATTTATTTATTTTGGAAAAGACAAAAATTATATGTCAGGAATTCAGAAAAGAAAAATATTTGATAAAAAAATTATTTTATTAAATGAAATTAAAAACTGTTTTTAATATATAAATGTCAATTTATTATATTTATATTTATAATAAAACAATAGAAGCATAATGTTATTTATATGCAATTAACACTGATGTTAACAAAACCTATATTTTTCTTTTAAAGAAAAAAGATTGTATTAAGTGATATTAAAATGGGTAAAATAAATAAAAATTATTTAAATTATACGAATTACTAAAATGAGGATAGTTATATATAACATAAAGTCACAATACTGCCAAATCAAAAGACCGTAATAGTTTAAATCATCATAATACCATAATAGACCATAATACGCTGAATATGTATTTTATCTATATGGCACATATTAGGAAAATCAATCATATCGGATAGTAAGCATATAACTTTTACAGAATTTTGCTGTCCCAATATTTAAATTCTTTTACTATACATTCTTTGGCGATTAGAACAGAATATTATCAGGACTATACTGTATATTTGTAATAAGTATCAAAGTTAAATTTCAATATATCACTACGTAATTGACGTCATTTGTTGAAATAATAACAGTAGCTGAAAAAAAATTGTATAAATTCACAATATTTTGTGTAATCTATTTTAATCCTTCTGAGTGGCTAAATCATTTCGTTACTATTATTTGTTGGAGTAATAATGTTTATTAAAAGATTTACTCAAACTTTATGATGTCATTAGGTCATAAGATTTCTATAGTTCAGTCAATACTCTCTATAAATAAAGCAAACCGACCGCTTGCACTTGGCGTTATCATTTAATAAAATTACAAAACTGAATATTTTCACTTGTTTTGGCTTTTCTTTTTGCTGCCTTTGATTTTATACCATAAACTTGTATTGCAAAAAATAATACAAATAATTTAGAATATAAATATTATGAAAACAAATAAATAGAAATATAGTAAACTTCATGTATGAATAAATATAATTACATGAAATAAAATTATATACAAATATAAAAATGTATTAATAAAAAATGTCTTGAATTAATATGTAATAAAGAAAGTCAAAAACACAAACAACTGGTTATTTGAAAAACGATAATGATTAATTTGACAATGTTTGTAACTGTAAACGTAGCTCAGCTCCGAATAAGTTAGATATATTTCAGAAAGATAAATTTATGAATTTTCTTCAGAATTTCTTAACACGAAACACGAACACGAACTCGAAACACGGACAAAAAATAAAAATAAATAAAATGAAAATAAAAAATATTTATTGTAAAAATTAACTTTTTCATTAAATTTAATTGGTAATATTTTATCCAGAAATATTATGTGTTACAAAATAATGTTTTGATATAAATAAAAAAAACTCATTTTATACATTACTACAACGGCCTGTCCGATCTATTTATTTGAAAGAATATTAATTATCAAATGCAACAAATCAAATTCAATATTATTTATTATATTTTTCATGACTCGCAGCAATAGATTTTATTATATAAAAATTAATGAAACAGACTATTCAATAAGTTTCGGTAACAATATGTAATATTATAAGTTATGCTTATACATTTTTGACGAGTATTCATACGATATTTAAAGGTTTAACTAACAACAGTGTATATATGTATATATTTATAGAAATTTAAAATAGTCAAATACACAATAATGAAGAGTTAATATTACACTACCAAAATATCAAATATACCATTACTTTTCAAATCTATTCTCATTATTTTCTAAATTTGTTATATTAAATGCAGACCTTCTAACAACTTAATACTTTTTACCAAAATATTATTCAAATAGATAGTTACATTATTTTTAATATATTATTTATAAAATTAGTTTATTTTATAATAAATTATATTAAAACATAATTCAATATACACGATAAAATAAAATTGTTACATAATATTTTACTGCAACAATTTGTAAATTATTAATAAATTAATTCATTATAACAAATAAAACATGAATAATAATAATAAATTGATTAAATAAAATTAAATATCTATTATTTAAATGTAAGATTAGATACAAGAGAAAAATGTGATTAACCCATGCTTAACCAATTTAATTTTTTTTTAATATTACAATATATTAAAACAGTTATAAAATTAAAATTTTCAATAGTTATTAAATTGTATAATATTTTCTAATAGAATACTCCTATTTTCATTTATACAATTTTTGTTCTTCCTATCATAAGTTATTGATAATGTTAAATTAGTTATATTTATAAAATAATTTATATACTTATGCAATTTCTATTACTACAGTGACAAAATATCAAGTCCAATTATATATGTATATATTCGATTTTATAAAAAGGGTTCATCCGAATCAAATTTTATTTTTCATATTCTGCATAATGTAATGTATTGCATTAATAATATTGTATTAATAATAAAACAGAAATAAAATTCTTTTTAAAATAATAAGAAAGAGAATTATAGTAATGAAAATGAAAGACATTTTTTAATGAATGATACTATAAATCATTTCAAAATAAATTAAAAATAGAAGAGTTTACAAATTTTTATTTATTTATTAATCGACTAAAATAAAATATATAAAATTTGAAATAAATAGAAATTCTGGGCCGCATGTATAATTTTAAATCATTAGCAGTTTCTATAAAAAATTTCAATAACATATCTTAGTGTAAAATAAATACAAATACAATAAAGTTAATATAATAATATAAAATATAATTAATTCAATAATATTTTATAACATAAAATAACGCTTATTTAAAATCATTAATAGTTAATCTGTATACTTGAATTTATTTATAAATGATATAAAATTAAAGTATAAATATTGCATACGTTATTTTTGTATTTTTATTTAATAATATATATTATCGATATCATTTTTTTAAATAAAAACTATTACAGAATATTTTAAATTTATAAAATATGTATTTAAATTTTGAAACATCTGATTTTAATTACCTTAATAAAAAACAAATTAAAATTTTTTAAAATAAATTTATCATAATTGTATAAATAATCATACATATATATATATATATATATAATTACTTTCACTGCTATATATAAATGTATATACTTCCGAAAATTTCTTTATTTACTTTAAATTTTATATTTTAGCAGAATTTTAGTCAAAATAAATACATGCTAAAAAAATAAAACCAAGAAAATACAGTGAAGTTAGTTATACGAAATAGCAAATTTTAAATAAATATATTTTTAAAGAAAAAAGATATAATCAAATACAGAAATAATGGATATAAGTATGCCATACATATTATTTTTAATTCAATTACAAAATGCTGTTAAAATAATATTATTATAACATCTATAATATAACTCATATTAATTATATTTTTATCTAGTTTATTTTTTATATGAAAATGAAAAATCCAAAATAAATATTATAGTTTCAAGTTATTTAAAATAAAATAGTTTGAAATTGATAATACATTATATAATTTCTTAAATTAAACTATCACAAAATAATAATTTACATTATTATAAAAAATTTTTTGTTTTGTTTAAAAATCTGTGATAAAGTATGTATTGATGTATAATATATTGATGTATGTATAATATATTGATTAATATAGAAATTGACACAGTTTTTTAATTTTCAATAACTTTTTGCAATAATGATATACTTTATGTAAGATTTGCTAAAATGGATAATATGAAAGTATCATGTATTTTTAGTTTTATCGTATCGATAATTTTGTTTTTTTATTAAATATTATAAAAATGTATAGATTTGATTGACAACTTTTATGCAAATATTCATGTGATATATAAATAACAAATTTTTCATAAGGAATACGCGAAATTCAATTAGTCCAAACTATTCATTAATTTAAGTATATAAAAGTTGAAATGCTAAACAAAATTAATATATATTTAATAGATATATTACATATAACATACGTACATATTTATAAATTTATGTATATAAAATGTAGCGTAAACGTGATTTTGTTTAAAAGTGAAGTAACTGAAACTATAAGTAATAGTTCGTTTTATTCAAATTTGTTTGAAACATTTAAAACTGTACAACTCACCTCACGATATGTATCGATCGATTACAAACAAATGGGTGAATGTAACAGCAATAGTCAGTGAGCGATTTTGATTTCTTCTTTTCTACGTTTAGTTTCCTGTCACTCAAACACAATAATGGCGACCAGAACTATATACCGTAACTCAATTTGATACAAACTGTTTATTCTCAAGGGCGTGACTCGTTTTTTCTTTTTAGTTATTTGCTCACAAAATTCACTTCAGGTTATTATCATCTACACGAATCTTCATAATAGCTTTTCGCGCCAAAATCTTACAATTATGTGACCTTTAATTTTCTATAATACTCATCAATTTCTTATGCACTGAAACAAGGAAACATTTAGAATTCAACACCAAATCGTTATTGAAGTGGAATAAACATCGCAATTCCTTTCGACATTTTAAGGATGCATCAATACTACTATAGAGTGGAAACAGTAAAAGAAATGAAAATTCAATAAACAGAAAATAAAAATTAAATTAAAAAATTAGATAAATTTATAAAGACTAAAAACCAGACAGAAAAGAGGGAGATAGAGATGGAGGAGGAGAAAGAGAGAGAGAGAGAAATGAGAAATGTTAAAGACTGATGTAAGGAATATCTGAAAGTACCGAATGAAAATCAACGAACTGTCCGTACGTCTGAAACATTAACTCGCTTGCAATCGTCGCTCTTTTTACCTACTCGCTGAACTGCCATCGCAGCCGCTGCTGCCGCCGCCACTCTCCCTTTCTCCAGCCTTACTCTCCTTCTCGCCCCTTCTCCGTTACTTGTTATAAGCAACGCAAGTAAGTATATCTTGATGGGGAGAAAACGTAGAAGAGTAGAATAAATGCATCCCTAACAATTTTATTTACATTTTCTATTGCATACAATATATAATATTGTCGTTAATAATTTCATTTCTGTAAGTTATAATTATTTTCAGTTTAATATGCATTACATTATTAATTTCGCACAAAAGATGATATAATAGATAATCAATAATATTAATATTTTAATAGTTTTAAGTTTTTAGAAAATATCGATATTGCATCTATTTTTTAAACTATTCACGAAATAAGATATGTTGTAATTCTACATACTATATAATGTAATTCTACAAGTACTAAACTAAATATTTTTAATATAATGTTTTTTTTATTTAATTAATTTATTAGTTATTGCCTTCATAAATTCGAAAATACTAGAAATTACGACATAAAATTATGAAAAATAGAGTTATAATTAAACAATTCTAAAATTTACTTTTTTTAATAAAACTACGAGAAATATACATATATTTATATTTTCGGCTTAGGGCGTAGTTATATTTTATAATATAACATCGAAATATAATATTTGATTTAAAATTTTTGAAACTAATTTGATTATAAAATATCAATACTTAATATTATCAAGCTTAAATGGTTATTAAAATAGAAACATAATTAAAGCATTACCTCTTTAAAAAAATGTAGAATACCTATTCTTCATTTTAAACTCTATATATTATTAATATTAGGCATTTATTCAAATTAAATAATATTTAATAAATATAAAAAAAATTAAATAGATATCTCTAATATATATTATTATCCACATTATGTTTTTTGGATGACTGTTGTATAAAAATTACATTAATGTCTAATTCAATATGTTCAAATTTCTAACCTTAAATATTAGATTAATTTTTAATTTACAAATAAATATAAATATAACATATAGATGTTATATATTCAAGCTATCATAAACAAGTATCCATGAATATATTAATAAATCTACAAATAATATTTATATAAGTTACTACATAATTATTTTTAATGGATAAGTGAACATAATGAATTAGAAAATATTTACATTAAATAAGTAATTTTTTTCTCAAAATATCAAATATCAAATATAGAATATCCAAAAATTCAAAAATGAAAATAACAAATATATTTAAATATAATAAATACAATAAAACACTTTAAAAATTTTAAATTATAGATAATATTAAAAATCATATGCAGAACATAAATATTATTATTCATTAAATTATAGAAGTAATTGTTTTACGGTTATATTAAAAAAATTTTTTAAATTTTATTTAATAATTGTATTTAATAATTAAATATCTGAATCATCCAATTGTAATTTATTATTGATAAAAATGAATTAACACAATAATTGAGAAATCCACCTTTCTACATTAAAAATGCCAAGTCTTTCTGATAATAACTCACTGTGACCGTTTATAAATGATTTGTTATTAACACTTTTTAACTACATTTGTTTTTCTCGATCTTGCTTACTATTACTATTATGAAATTAGCTTGCAGTTTGAATACTTCACCTACATCAAGGAAACTGAATACCAGTTTTGGATGTAGTTCTCGTTTCTTTGAAAAATAAATAATCATTTTTCATATAATTAGTGATATATTAGCTCAGAAAAAATTGATCAGAATTTTTCAAGGTATCTTTAATGTCTTATATAGTAAGGTAATAATAAAATTAAAATATTTCAGTAAGTTATGATAATTTCATTAATATGATTTCGAATATTTTTAACTAATTTATACTAAAAAATAAGAATATGGTTTCACTTAAATATATAAGTGACTAAATACCGAAAAAGTTTAAGACATTTTTTTATTTTATAATTTTTAGTGTTAATAATTAATAATAAGTAATAATTATCTATACATCAATATATAAACATTTTTTATAAATACACGAACTTTTATTATTATAATAACATAAATTATTAACAAGTTATTTATTAATTTTTATAAAAATTCTAAAAATCTAATAATAAATTCATATAATTTGAAAAAATATCTTCACATTATGTAATTAGTAATATTAGAAATTTTAAAAATAAAAAATGGTTACTTAGCAAAAAATAAAAATTTTATTAATCAATGATACAAAAGTATACAATAATTATTATTTAACTCATACTATTATTTTTTTAAAATTGAATCACATATTTTAGATATAAACAGTATTGTATTGTTAAGATATAATATATTGACAATTTATTAAATTTAATGACCCTAAAGATTGAAATTATTCACACTTTTTAGATTTTTAATTATGGTCTTTTACAGATAACTTTAACAAAAGTTACATATACGTTTAGCATTTTAAAGAACATTAAATAAAAATAATTTTAATAATAATAATGTTCATAAATACAATTTAATTTAAATTTTTGTTTAAACATCTTTAAATTAAATAAAACAATTATTAAAAATATGCTAATTACTATATAATATTTATATTTACTAAACATAACTATATTCAAAAATGATTTATTTAGCTTACCTTTTATTTCGTATTTTAATCTTATTATACAAGATAATAAGAACTTACCAAAACATTAATAAGATTTACAAATATCATAGCAATTTGTATATCTAATTGTTATAAATATTATTGTCTTAATAGAAAAATGGACTGATTAAATATACAGAAAGTAGTTTTAAAAACTATACTTTACATATCGCAAGAACAATTGTAACATTTTCATTTTTCGTATATTCAATTGTAATAAAACATTTAAATAAAGAAGGTAATAAATAAATAAAAACGGTTTCTAATAAAACATAATGATATAATAGTAAAAGTATAATAAATTTTCAAGAATAATTTTATTAATATGGCTGATATTATATTTTATTTTCCTTTCGGAATATTAATGCGAATCGTGCACAAAGATTTATTATATTTAAAATATTTTATATTCTTTTAAAGCTTATATATGGCAATGTAATATTTAACAAATGTAATTAGATATTATAGAATGATAAAAAAATGTTATTAAGTTAGTACAAATGAATGTTACGCGAACATACGTGTTAATAATAAATGAAAATAATTTTTCTTTTATAAATATAATGTATTATATATTTAAATATATAAAAATACAAAAGTATACCTTATTTTTGTAGTATGATAGTTCGATGTAAATAAAAATTATATTTTACGATTTCAGCCGACAGACGAAGCCTGTCCGAAATAGCATGTATTGTAGATGCTATTTGACAAACGACAAACATATAAAATAAAAAGTATAAAAATTTAAATATACACATATTGAAAGAATGGCGTAGAATTTAGGAAAAAGCGGTACATAATGTTGATTTAAACATTAGTTCATAATCCATAGAGAAGAGAAACACAGCTTTCTCGATTGACGATTTGCACGAATTAAATTTACATGTTTATCGTTAAAATAGAATAAGTTTATTGATACTTCTAAATTGATTTACGTAACAAGGAGAAAAATGAAGCATAAAAAATTATTAAGAAATTATAACAAATTTTGAAAAACGACTTTGTTAAGAAACTAAAATCTTCAAAGAGACGTGCTGATTCACTCATTCTTTCATAAGATGCTGACCCAATCTATGCAAACATGCAGAAAAATGACTCCGACTTAGTTGGTTAAGAAAGGGATGAAGTACATTTTCTTTTATCAACTATAAGCAATCGTCTGAACCCGCAAAAAAGCACCTTAATATATATATATATATATATTCAGACAAACTTGGTCAATTACTTTCACGATTTTTCAAAATATTATTATATTATATTGATTATAATAATTTTTTACAAGTAAGAAAATTTTGTTTTTGACACAATTATTATAATTTACTGAACATCGTTAAATTGTACGTCAATAAATATATATTAAATCATAAAATAATAAATTTATTAAAATTTATAGAATAAGCATGTTCAGAAATTGTTTAGAAATTGTTTAGGAATTTTCCTTCATTTTGACACGTAATTTCTAACTCTACCTTGAACCATTATATCATTGAAATTTACCATATTATCAATTTTTAATATGTTTCTTGTAGAAAGATTTATGACTTCCACCCTATTTCCTTCCCCACGAATGAGCAAGCCAATGATCCCATTTTAGCAAACGTGAATAACTAATAATTATTTACTAAGCGCATAAGAAGCTATACATTGTTTATAAATTACCCATATAGCCTTCAGTTTGTCACTAACATATGAAACTACATAAACGGGAATATATGCTAATACCGACAACTAATTACTAATTATAAGACGACATAATGATTGTGCACTAAATTTAAGTAAATAATGCTGTACACCTCAAGTACTATGAAATAGTCTGCATTTATTATTTTCTTTAAATATACGTGATTTAAATATAACTTCATGATCTTCAAAAGGTACCATTTACCGTATTATATATCTTGAAAGAATTTATAAAGATAAAAATATAAATAGTTTCATAACATATAATATTTTTAAAAACTTTGATATAATCCTAAAATATTTTAAATTCATTGTTAACCTGAAAATTTTAATGGT